TAGTTCTATTCTTTCCAATAAGCTGCCTTACCTAAATCTTGATTGGAAGTTTTAGTTGGAATCTTCAGATATCTTTCCTTAACAGTATTTGGTAGATTTCTTATGAAGCTGAGGACTTTAAAAGACAATAAAAACATGGATTGAAAAGTGCTTATCACACCTAAACAAATGAAGTAAGCTGTTAAATAATGCAAAGCATATACAGTCATGCGTCACTTAATGATGGGGACATGTTCTGAGAAATCTGTTCGTTAGGAGATTTTGTAGTTGTGCAAACATCGTAGAGTGTACTGACACAAATCTAGATGGTATAATCTACTATACATCTAGGCTATGTGGTACTGATCTTACGGGACCACTGTCGTATATGTGGTCCGTTGTTGACCGAGACGTCGTTATGCAGCACATGACTGTATTTGTGTATATAGATGTAGATATATAGATATAAGCTCAATGCAGTTATGGAATAACCACTAATTCTTCCTCAATGAGTTATTACTGGAACCATTAGCCTGATGTTGTTATAGAAAATTGTGTACTGGTCCTGTTAGTAATTTCTAATGGTATGCTTGAAATAAACATGGGTATTGGAGTCAGACCTGGGTGTGGGTGTGAAGCCTAGATCTGATATTTAGTTGTTGAGTGGTGTTTGGCAAGTTAATTCACTACTTTGCTTCTCGGTTTTTTTAATCTGAAAATAGTTTTGAGAATGGCTAAAGTTAAAAAGATTGACAATATGACAATATGAAGTGCTGGGAAGGATTTGGAGCAATTAGAACTGTTACACTTTGCTGAAGGAATGCCAAATGGTGTAGCCACTTTGGAAAGCAGTTTTTTTTAAAACGTTAAACATACACTTACCATAAGACCCAGCAATTTCACCCATAGTTATTTTTCAAGAGAAATGAAAACACATGCTTACACATTAGATGTGAATGTTTATAGCAGCTTTATTCATAATCATCAAAACCTGGAAACAACCCAGATGTTCATCAATGATGAATGGATAAATAAATTGTGGTATATCCATACAATAAAAAGGAGTGGACTACTGATACATGCAACAAAATGGTTGAATATCATAATTTTTATGCAAAGTGAAAGAAGCCAGACACAAAAACCTGCTTAGTGTATGATTCCATTTCTAATGACATTCTGGAAACAGCAAAACTATAGGGACACGGATCAGATAAGTGGTTGCCAGGGGGCTGGGAGTAGGGAAAGGGAATTGACTACAAAGGAAAATGAGGGAATATTTTGGAGTGATGGAAATGTTCTATATCTTACTTGCGTTGGAGGTTGCATGGCTATACATTTGTCAAAATAATGAATTTTACTGTATGTAGACCATATCTCAGTAAAAGAGAAAGAAAAAAAGCTTGTGTTTCAGAGTGGTTATGGAAATTAGAAGAGATCATTCTCCTCTCCCATTTTTTCTTCTGTTTGGTTCTTCATTATCCTCTGCTTCTTCTATGTCTCTTAGAAATTTAGGGTCCATGATAAATTGCAATTTCTTATTTCAGGGTTGAGATACTACAGAAAATTTATGTCTTTATCTGCAATCTCTGAGTCAGATTTTAAATTGAGTCATCAACTATATTTTTATCCTTCTAGATATTCCAATTATTACCAAATAACTCAGAGCTGGAATTTGCTTATTCAGTAAAATATACCAAGTATGCTTGCTTTGACTGGATTCGCCATCTGTGTCCTGTGACAGTGGGAGTGCACACTATGGTTGGGAGGGTATATAAAGCAATCTTGAGTTTTGAGCCTGAGTCCTGCTTGAGAAAGGCTTCCTCCACTTGGCAGCAAACCATTGTTCTGTACCAGTGGTTCTCAAACTGGAGTGAGCGTCAGAATCACCTGGAGGAGTAGTTAAAGCACAAATTACTGAGTCTTACCCCCAGAGTTACTGATTCTGTAGGTCTAGTGTGGGGCCCAAGAATTTGCATTTCAAACAAGTTCCCGGATGATGTTGATGCTGTGGGTTTGGGGCACACAGCTTGAGAACCACTGATTTATGCTTGCTTCTGGTGTTGCAGCATCAAAATTCCTACCTAAGTACAGTAGCGAACATTTTGTTTTTAAACTGCTTCATCATTTCATGGCCACTTTTGTGTTGGCTAAAATCAAAATATATTTAGAGAGAAAACCGTAAGCGTTTGACTAGAGACCACAGAGTGTTTGATGCCTGAAAGACAGAGAAATGGTTCTGGCATGAGAAAAAGGAAAAAAGGTATGTCTAGCTGTACCCCTTCTTTTTAACATCTTGAGTGTCATCATGCTACATCATAATTATTTTATCCCCCTAGCAACAGGTTCCTTTTGGACTCCCATTCTCTTTGCTTTGAAAGTTCCGAGGACTCTTACTAGGTCTCCTCTGCCCATTGGCCTAAAATATTCTCAGTTAAGACTTTTCACTGCCTGGTTTGCAATAAATAGGCCCTGTCTCGTCAGACTTAAGTTTCATGATTGTATCCTATTTCTTTTTTCAGACCAGTAGTAACTTTCACTGAATGAAACCAAAGTACCATAACAATTTGAAGCAGTCTTGGGATGTGTAGGTGACTGATTTTTCAAGTGAACAAATATAAATCATGCTCTTGTATCAAACAGTTCCCTAGACCAAGAAAGAAAGAACCCTAATAATTTTAATAGCACTAGGTATAAAAAGAATACAAGTAAAATTTAGAATCTTAAAAATAATTTGTAGATGTTAAATTTAAGGAAATCGTAGATTGTTTTATCTACCCAAATGCCAAAGCAGATACCAAGGGCTATATGTATGAATTTGTTCAGAATTCCTATTATTTTAAGGTTACTGTAGGGTATATTGTGCTGTAATGATATCTGCTGATTTCTCTCTGTGATAGATTAAATACAGTATATTATGCTTAAAGCTGATGTCCTTTTATCCTTCCACCACCACCCCACTGATTATAGAGAGTCTTGAGAGAAAATAGCTCATTGTGCTGGTTGATTACATGCCTCGATTGAATAGTAGCTTGCTGCCAATTATCATTACAATGCCATATTGATTTTTTCTCATTTCCTCTATGGAAATTAAAGCAGAATTTGTTTAAAACGAGCTTCCATATATATTGTGGATATGATTGGTTCTGAATATTTGAGCTTTTTTTAAAATATATTTTCTTCAGTGATCATTCTTACTGATATTCTCTTAGAAATTTAGTTCTCTACTTTGTTGATAAGCTTTACCTTAGGTAGATATGAAAGGTAGTTTAAAGACTGTGGAATAGAAATATAGTTCGTGGTTTATCTAGCGTATAGATTTCAATTATTGCTTCACAGGAGCCTGCTATATATAATAATTTATGTTTGTGAAGTTCTTGGGCAATATGAGACTGCTGATTCTGTTAACCATACAAGTCAGTAAATTTAATTAAATTTGAATTAGCAAATAATTATTTGGTGTTGACTATATGTAAACCACTATGCTAAGCATTATGGGAGACAGAAAGATGAATGAGATAATATAACCATCTTCAGAGAATTTATAATCCAGAAAGGTGGGTAAGACACATGTGGCAAGAATCATAATGTCAAGTAGTAAGAGATAAAAATACATGGGTGTTCAAAGGAAAAATAACTCATATTTGTATGGAGGACTTATGGGGAAAAATAACATTAATGGAGGAATTGACAGTCAATGTGAGCCTTAAAAGGTTTGAAGAGATCGAGTTGGGTTACCTTCTAGAAAGAAAGAATAAATAAGGTAAATTCAGGAAATGTAGGGAGGACTCCAGGAAAGAGAATTTGTTTGATTTTATTGGAACGTGTGAAGCTAAATCTGAATCAGAATTTGAAATGTGTTAGGTAGTCCAGAGGAAATTTTTGGACAGAAGTCTGTGATTATGTGCAGTCTAATCCGGCATTTTGTAAAATGAATAAAAGGAAAGATTGAAGCTGCAGAGACCCTCGTTGGGAGGCTCCTGCCATGTTAAAGGAAAGGTAACTAGGGCTAAAGGAGAATGGTAGGAGAGACAACGAAAAGGAGGGGCATGTGTGGGAATCATTCTAGAAGCAGAATAATCATGACTGGGTGACAGAAAGTCAAACCAAGCTCTAGGTGATCAGTCTTCCAGCCTTCTACCACACACGGGACTTCATCTCCTGCTGCTCTCCCAAGCCTGCTTATTCCGCTGCAGCCGCACAGGTCTCATCACAGTTCCTGGAATATTCCAAGCGCTAGCTACCACCTCAGTACCCGATTTGATCTTATTCTCTCTATGGGAAAGTTCTCACTTCCTTCACGGCTCTACTCAAATACCACCTTATCAAAGAATCTTTCCCTGACTACAAATTGAAAAGTAACACTCTGGCTCTCCTTATTCCCTTTACCAAGGTTTATTTTTCTTCATAGTACCAAAGCACTGACATTTTGTTATATAGTTATTTATCTGTTTATCATCTGTCTCCCTCTTTCTAGATAATAAGCTACACGAGGGTAAGGGCTTAGTTTTGTTGCCTGTTGTATCTCTGTCACCTAGAACATGCCTGGTACTTACTAGGCACCCAATAAATACTTGTTGAATGAATGAACGGAATAAATGCAAAGGTGAAAGAGATTGGGAACAAAAAATTATGCCAGTATTTCAAGTCTGAAGGGCTCAAAGGATGGTGGCGTTATTAAGAGAATATCTAAGAGTGGAAGAGGAGTTGATTTAGGGGAGCAGAGACACAGGGGAAGATAAATTTGGCTTATAAATTCAGGCTTAAGTAGATGATGCAGGTGAAACAACCAAAGCAGTGCTGTGGAGTGGGTGATCTAGAATGTGAAGAAAAGTCTGGGATTGAGGCAAAGATCTCTGAGTCATCCTCATAGAGTCAATACTTGAAGCAATGAGAGTAGAAAAAAGAATGGCAAGCGATATAAAGATGGAATTATTGGATTTGAAAATCAAAATTTCATTTTGGACATTTAATGTTTTAAATATACAAATTTATTTATACATATTCTTTTGTTTATTTCCTAGCTGGGTTAACAACTTTGGCCACGAAGGTCTTGGACTCTTATTGGATGTGCTGGAAAAGCTTCTGGATAAGAAACAGTAAGAATAAATATGAAAAAAAATCGCCAAAGGGGAAATTTTTAAGCGCAATATAATGTTTTATTTTCTTTCATTCAGGCAAGAGAATATTGACAAGAAGAATCAGTATAAACTTATTCAGTGCCTCAAAGCATTTATGAATAATAAGGTAAGTAGTATTTATTTCTGCCTCTGTCGCAAAAGGTAAAAACTTGTCCGACAGTATGAAAGTATGAAACGGACAAAATAGTGAGTGCTTATTCAGTTTACAAAAGGGTCTTTATGATGCAAATCGTCCTAAGTTTCATTTAAATATTATTTAAAATATACTTTGCTTCACAAAGTATTTATTGGTAGCTTTTGCAGTCATGCAAACATATAAGTCTTGTTCCCAAATCAGATCATACTTTTTTTTCTTTTGTGGTAGTAGGAAAATTTAAATGTCATGTGTTGAATACCATTTCCTTACAGAGAGTTTTTATTCCATTGAAAAGGAAAATTCAAAGCTATGGTTTGACTTGTTTGCTGAGAACATTATAAAGTAAAGATTTTCTTTTAGGTTCAGTTAATGTCAGTGAGTTAACATACATAAAAGACATTTCTGGAAGGTAGTGTGGTTTTTTTGTATATGTATGATACCAGTTGCATTATGAGGGACTCTGAATTCTAGACAAGGGTTTTTCTTCTAAAAATAGTCTTTGCTCAGGTTATGAAGTTACAGTCATTTTTTTCTATAAACTGTTTTGTTACTGTCTTAGAAGTGATTTTCTCTATATTCCTATAGGTAAAATACCACTGACTAATTCACTAATTACATAATTCCCTTTAGATGATGTTTTAATAATCTCAAAATATTTAATAAAAATAAATAATTATAACAATAACCAAAAACTTGCCAAATGTGAAATATAGCTATTAATAACCAACGCAATGAGATTGTCTAAGTAATCTTCAAACAGTCTTTCTTAAGCATGTGGGATTATATGTAAGTATGTATATATTATACACACGTGTATCAGCAAAGAATTTTTTGGCATGTGGAATGAATGCTTGCTAGTTGAAACGAGACTCGCATATAGAATACGCTAAGTGTGCTGTTCCTGGAAATTTCTTCCAGAGAGATTTCCATCAGTACTAGTACAGAATTTCTCAACTTCTGTCCTCTTAGTCTTTGGCAACAAAGTTTTGCAGAATCTGATGCCTAACAAGAAAGCACTTAATGAACATTGCTTCTCCACAGCTCAAGATGGATCTCTTTCTTCAATTGAGGGGAACAAAGAAATAATGGAAAGACAACACAGTACTAGAAATCAGGAGATATAGTTCATGCTTTGCCACTAAGTTGAGTGGCCTTTGGAAAATCACTTGGCCTCTCTGGCTGTCAGTCCCCTGATCTGTAAAATGAACTGTAGGACCCTTTGTTTTAAATTCTTGTTGACTCACCCTGTCAACTCTCACAGCTTTCCAGGATACTAAGTAACTATAATCAGGAGAGTCACTGGAGAAAGTCATTAGTAGTGAGATTTCCTAAAGAGCCTTTTCCCACAAGACATAAGTTAATATGTCAATACAAAATTACTTATTACTTAAGAGTTTGGCAGTTTTGAAGAACATGATGGTTTGACTTAGATTATTCTAAACTAAGGCTAAGCTTTAGTCAGGGCATGTTAAATGTCTTGTACACAGGTGCTCAGAACATGAATAAATGGTTGATCTTTTAAATTATAGGCATGTGACACAATAGACATAAAGTACATATTCAAAATAAAAAATATACAGCGATTTATCCATTTCATGTTGGAATAAATTGTCATAATCAAAGAATGGAATGTCATTTCATCTGAAATGACTTAAACATCAAATTTGTCTGCCCCAAGGAGTTTAGATTACTTACTTCAAAAACTCTTTTCCCTTGTACAATGCTTGTAATAATAACATCATAAAAAGCAACCCATTACCCTTTAACTTCCATTGCTATAATATTGCTGTGATGCTTAGATTGATGATTTCCCATCATTTCTCATATCTTCACTTTTATTTTTGGTATGTCCCAACATATTAGAAACTACTTTTAAACAATAAATGGAAATTGGAAGATTTAAATGATTTCACTCTCAGTCTAACTGATTTTTAAAGCTGTTATTTTGTTTGGTAGTTGCATGGTAATCATCTATCTCTGTTTTGCACATGCATTTTTCATTTATTTTCCTTGCTATTTATTAGCTATTAACCACCTTTATGTCAGCCCTGGTTGTCTAGTGGTTAAGATTCGGTGCTCTCACTTCCTTGGCCTTGGTTCGTTTCCCAATCAGGGAACCATACCGCTCATCTGTCGGTTGTCATACTGTGGCAGCTGCGTGTTGCTGTGATGCTGAAAGCTATGCCAACAGTATTTCAAATACCAGCAGGATCACCCAGGGTGGACAGGTCTCAGTGGAGCTTCATCGGAGCTTCCAGACTAAGACAGACTAGGAAGAAGGACTTGGGCACCCACTTCTAAAAAAATTGGCCCTGAAAACCCTATGAATAGGAACTGGGGCGTTGTCTAGAGAGGATGGCACAAGAAGACCAGGCAGGGTTCTGTCTGCTGTACACAGGGTCACTAGGAGTGGACTCCACTCAACGGCACTGCAGCGACACTAACAACAAAGCCACCTTTATACACATATCTCCCTTCTGTTTTGTTTGCTTCTTTTTAATCTTGTCTCTTTCATTTCCTTTTTTTTTTTTTTTGTCTTATCTCTGTATAATTCCTTATTTATTATGACCTCTGGTAAAATCACATTTAAGAGCTTTAGCTATGTTTTTTTTTCTCCTGAATTCTTTTAGAAGTTAAATTAGAAACCGTGAAAATATTAATATGTTTGCTACTTAACTAAAGGTTAGCTTGAAACGGCCATTTTGCTCCAATGAAATGTCAGATTTCACCATTAGACTGTAAAAAGAAGCAAACATATTTCATAAGAAATCTGAGAAACACTTTGTGTGACAAAGATCGAAGAAAATATTACCTTCTTAATGTAGTGAAAACTCAAGTTTTGGGCTTTCTTTAACATTTCTTTATCTATTCATTCTTATAATGCACATTTGCGTGCGTGTATTCAAGCCTAGAAAATAAATGAAAATGGTGTCTTCTCTGCCTAGTTGATTGTGACACTAAAACCCCGTCACCATTTCTTTGGGATCATAGCTTTTGTAATGCAGCACAGCTGCCTGGAAGGGGGAGGATACGAGAGAGAAGGAATGGGAAAATCCATACAGAGGTTTATTGCTTCATTAACTGGCAGATAGTATACAAAAGAGCTTTTCAACATTTTACCCTTTTTGTTCAACTTAATTTTCCGCACAGACATATTGGAGAATTTAACCATGAATTCTAGACATCTCCAGGGAGACCCAGTGACATAAGTAGAATTACTTTATAAAATCATATCAATATGTGCTTTACATGTTCTTTGTTGAAGAAATACTGATTGTTCCCATATTTCTCCCAAATCTTTATGGAATTTTTGATTTCCATCTGATCAAGGGACAAAATATTCAAGATGCAGTCATTTCAAATTAAAAAAAAAAAGATAACTGCATTTGAAGAATATTCATATAATTAGGTAGAACCTCATTATGGAGGTATGGGTTTTTAGGAAATCACTGTAAGTTGCTTTTTTACATTAAAGGTACGTTCCAAAGACATTTTGAATGAAAATTCTTTTTTTGTTTTTGTTTTTTAGTTTGGATTACAAAGGATCCTAGGAGATGAGAGAAGTCTTTTACTATTGGCAAGAGCAGTTGACCCCAAACAACCCAACATGATGACTGAAATAGTAAAAATACTTTCTGCTATTTGCATTGTTGGAGAAGAGAACATGTAAGTATTGCTTTATTATTATATTAACTGCATGGAAAATGACACTTGAGAAATTAAGAAGTCCTACTTTTGTGCTGTCTTTTTAGTTAACTTGCATGAAAATATTAAATTATAGAAAAAAATTTTGGCATTTTTATCTTATCTATTTGCATTTTAGCTTTTTTTTTTTGATTCTTTGAAAAATAGGTTTAAACACATAGAATCCTAATGGGAAATTCTTCAAAGTTTGATTCAAAATGAATGAATAGAATTTTGTCTAGCTGAAGGTAAAGTAATCATTAGAAAAGTGGGAAAAAATCAGAGAGTAATTTTAGCTAAATGCACACACACACACGCACACACACACCCCCCCACCCTGCACACACACGCCACACACGTGCACATCACAAAATTTAACTTCTTTAACTAACTGAGTTAACTAGATACTTTTATTTTGTACTATTATTTTATAGTATTTTATATTTATTACTTTATCTGTCTATGGTTAAGTGAAAAGATAAAGCTATTATTTATAGAATGAAATAAAGTAACCTGTTCAAAAAGAAAGAACAAAAAGGCTGTTGTTAAATTATTGAGTGCATTTATGTGCCAATTTTAGCCAGGTGTTGCTGACCATGCATTAGATCATTTCTTCTGATGGAAATGATATTGAATTAGCAGCAAAATTTCAGATTTGATGTCATTAATAAGTCTAGTTAGTAAGAAACCATTGTGATAAAGAATGAAATACCTGCTAAGGACATGAATTGAAATGCTTCTTCGGAGCACTTTGTGTGACAGTGTTAATTTCAACTGAATCTGAGCAGGGCCATGCAAAGATTTAAGAATATTCTAATGTGTTCACTTTCTCATACCTGTTAGAATAAAATGAGATGTTGCTTAATGCTGGCTAGTGTGCTTAGAAACCAAAAGACAAACGCTAAACAAAAATATTATCATATAGCATTAAGTCTTATCTCCATGAGAACAAACTGAGAATGAGATAGCATATGCAAAAGTAAGGTTTCCTTAGGTTTTATAGAAAAATCAGTTTATACATGAGGAAGAAACATTTTCCTAGTCAATTAGATTTTCAGTACTTAATTCATATTATAACCTCCTCTGGTATATTTGTTATAATTTAGTTAAAATGTCAGGTATAGTTTGATAAGAGTAATATACTTCATAGAGGTTAATTTAATTCAGACACAGTACAGAGAGTGTTTCAATATTTTTGTTCAGGTAAATAAGTTTCTTGTGCTAGGTAATTATAGGTGTTTCTCTAGTTACCTAGGCTTTCACTTTTAGGTTTTTTTCCTTGTTCCGTTTTCAAAGAATGTTGATTTTTTAAATTTCTTTTAGAAATATTTAGTCTTTACAGCACTTTATTATAAAATTACAGTCTGCTTATACTTGAATAAGCTTTAAATAATTGTCAATGCCATATTATGTTTAAGTGATACTAATATCTATGTTAACACATGAAATATCAAAATCTGAAGTTTTAAATTTCAATGTGTATCAAGTAGTTTGTTAAAGTTGCCACTCAGAAAAATTATTTTCCTCCAGATTTTTTAATTGACTTTTTATTTTGATGCCCTAAAATTATTTAAAGCTGTCAATATTTGACTTTTAGAAATATGTGGACAGAAACACAATTCTTAGATTTTAATGGTCTATAAAAACATCAAGCACCAGAAAGAACACAAGGAAGACTGAACGAGATAACCCATATTCATAATGTGTGTGTAAGATGTATTTCTCATTTCTGTTTCTTTTTTTTTCTCCATAGTCTAGATAAACTTTTAGGGGCTATAACTACAGCAGCAGAAAGAAATAACAGAGAACGATTTTCACCAATTGTGGAAGGATTAGAAAATCATGAAGCTTTGCAATTACAGGTGAGTTAGTTTTGTCTTAGATTGCTTCTAGGGTTATATTTAGAGTACTCATTTTGTCTGACACCACTTCTGTTTTAGCTAGGATTTAAATAGACTGGAATATCAAAATAAAAGTCTTGCTGTTGCTTGGTCATTCATAAAAGCTAGAAGTTTTGTTTGTGAGAATAACAATTTGTTTAAATTAGGAAAAGTGCTTTGGATTGTTGTAAATATGGTGATTATGATTATCATTAATATCTGGGTGGAAATTTAGTAATTAGTGTAATAAACCATTGAAATTAAAGCCCTAGCAATAATCAGGGCAATAGGGCAAGCAGTTCAGCCAATGCCATTATCCTAACAAGTGTTAATGATGTCTGTGGGCTTGTAGAAATTTAAGAAAACTGAACACATTTCTCTTTGTGCCATTTACACAACATTCAGAAGTCTGACTCACCAGAATAGGGAAGATTGAATTGCAATTCTTAGGTCAACGTCTATCTAATAGCCCTGTGTAGACCCGGCCTACATGTCTTCTTTAGAAAATGACAAAACTCGTTATCTTTTCTTACATGGTTTCAGGATATGACTCATTTTATGAAAGATAAGTTTGTTCTTGAGTGATGAGAACTCATATTTATTGACCATATTTAAGGTGTGAGATCTTGGACTGAGCATTTTAATTTACATACATTATCTGATTTGATTCTCTCAACAACCCAGCTATATAGGTACTATTATCATCTCCATTTTGCTTATGAGACAAATAGGTTAAGTGGGATTCAATAACTTGTCTAAGGTGACACAGCTTGTAAGTGGCAGAGTCAGAATTTGACACCAGGTTTGTTGGTCTCTGACGCTCATCTCTTTCTTTTAGACAGTGTTTACCATTTATAGTACCATGGGAAACTCTTTCTGAAATACTGTTTTAAACTCCTGTGGTGTCAGTCAGCCAGGCCTGGTGGTCTAGTGGTTAAGATTTGGTGCTCTCTCCGCCATGGCCCGGGTTCATTTCCCAGTCAGGGAACCACACCACCATCTGTCAGTTGTCATACTGTGACGGCTACATGTCGCTGTGATGCTGAAAGCTGGCCATGAAAACCTTATGGATAGCGGTGGAGCATTGTCTGATATAGCGCTGGAAGGTGAGAGGATGGTACAAAAAAACCAGGTAGTGTTCCACTCTGCTGTACTGTTACTAGGATTCAGAATCGACTCGAGGGCACTGATAACAATAAAGTGTCATTCAACAAAGAGAAGATGGTTCCACATTCAATTTTATCAAATTATTTAGTAGTGAGTGTTTAAATATTAAAATTTCTTATCTGATGTAAAACAAAGTATCTTTTTCCCTTTTTTATTGTATTATGAAATATTGGTATCTTTTTTCGCCAGAGTTTGAAACTACAGCAGATAGATGAATTGGCTTGTCCAACAAGAATATTGTAGTGTTACAAGACTGTAATCCCCCTCCAAATATTTAAGGAAATTTGTTCAGCGTTACTTCTACTCCAGCTATGATGAGCATTTTGGATAAACTTTTATGGTGTGCCTTTTATGTCCAGTGTATTACATTTTTTAATAATTGGGGTATTTCCTTCTAGTGTTTTTTTTATAAGACATTTCTTACTATAAAATTTATTTCAATATAATTTTTCTACTGAAAGTTTTGAAAACTGTCTTTTTTAGATGATTTCTTGAAATCTCTGTTCTTGTTCCTGTGGTTGGGCTTACCTAACTAAATTTCATTGACTTTCAGTCATATGAAGGAGTTTGTACTTGGCTTGCAAAGTTTGTTTAGGAGGAATTAAGTGTTTTAGATATAGTCAAAGTTTTCGTTACTCAAATGACCCACTCACTCAAAATCACACAGCTGTCCAGGGGTACAGCTGTGATTTGAAGCCAGGTCTTTGTGATGACAACATTTGTATGCTGCATTGTCTGACCTTTAAAATGACACCTCTGCCATAGAGTAGTTCACCCCGAACAATGAGATGGGAACGACCTTTGCTAGCCTTCGGGAAGCTGGACTGAATGGAATGATATAGTAGCAAGTTGCTATCAAGTAACATATGGAAGAATCATGGACATCTTGCTAGGTGTTCAAGAAATTGTTGACTACTGATTATAGATGCAAACATATGCAAATCACAATTTGAAATTTCCTATTTCAGTGAGCTACAAAAATTGGTAATTTGTTATGTACAGAGCCTATTACTCTCACAAGAATTGAGAAGTGGGTTTGTTTATTTGGACTACTTCATGTGAATGAAAAAAATCATGTAGAAGTTCAAAAATATATTCAGAATACAGAATGAAGAACAAAAGTTTAAATCTGTTGTTTAAAAAATATAATTAGTGCTGTATTTTAACAGAATTACTTTTCTATTTCTGTAGTATCCTGAGACTTCTCTAAATGTTATTACAGTCTCAGGAAGTAATTCTGTTAAAATACAGGACTAATTATATTTTTAAATAACAACTATATACCTTCTTTTTCTTTTTTTTTGGATTTCAAAACAGGTTATTAAATTCTCACAGAGCTTTTCTAGCTCATCTTTAAAGTGAAATTTTGTACTGGGATAGAATCTTCATTATCTTCAGTAGTTCAGGAAATAGAAAATAAATCATATATCTTCGTATGCTCTCACTTCATTGACTTCCCTTCAGCTTACTAGCACTCTCAAGTCTCCTCCATAGTACAACACCTTTTTTTGATCCTACTTATCCTTCGAACTAGCCTCTCATCTTCCTTTGTCATTTTATAGTCCAAGTGCCTAAAAGAATCCCCTATACTTGTTTTCTCTGTTTCCTAAATTAACTTTCACAACTCAGTTTTTTCACAGTTATCAAAAAAGTTGACAGTTTTCCTCTAATTTCAAAATACAATGGACTCTTTCTAATTCTAATCACTTGGCTCTATTGATCACCTCCCTCCTTGAAAATTTTACTGCCTTTGGCTTTCTAGGCACCATTCTTTCCTTGCTCTCTGACTGTTCTTTCTCTGTCTTCTTTGTATGTTTCTCCTCTTCTAACTTCTTTGGTATTTTGTTCTCTATGTTCTATTCTTGGTCCTCTTCTATTATTATTTTTGTATATACATACATATATGCATATACATGTATATACATACATATATGTACACACATATATATTTCATTTTCATGAATGTTAATTGCTTCTCTAGCTTTAACATCCATCTATGTTCTATTGATTCCCCAGATTTATAAGTCCAGCTCATCTCCCTCTCTGTTTAAATCTACATGTCCAAATGCCTAACTAGATGTCTTATAGACATCATAAAAATAAGAAATAAAAAATAATACTTATAAGTCATTTGCCGATATTCTAGATAATTTATATATGTTACCTCATTTTAAACCTCACAGCAATTACACGAGAGAGATAGTAGTAGTATCCCCATTTTATAGATGAGCAAACCGAGGCTCATAGAGGTTAGATAACTTTCCCAGGGTCACAAAGTGAATGGGAGGCAAAGCCCAGATTAGAGACTAGGGTGTCTGGCTCTAGAGCACAAGCTCTTAACCACTACATGGTACCTCCTCTTATTAAAGCTGAGTTCATTCTCTCTTCCCCTTAACCCAGTTCCCCCAAAAAGAATTCTACTCTTCTTCCTGTCTTTCTCATTTTAGATTATAGAGGTATCATCTTCTACCTAATCTTTAATTTTCCTCAAGACTTCATTCTTCTTTATTCCTTGCATCTAATCAATCATCGTCTTATAGCACAGACTATGAATCTATCCCAAGCTCTCTACCCTCACTGCCTTTATCTTCTCCCACCAACATTATTCCAGTAATTTCCTAATTAGTACCCCATACTGATACTTTCTTCCCCTCCAGACAAATGTTCTGTACTGTTGTCAGTTATCCTTAAAAAAATCAATCTAATTCTAACATAGTAGCATTCCTAGAAACCTACGCTCATGATCCATTGTTACCTTGATAAAGGTGAAAACCTAATTGTGATGTATGACCTTTAATGTGGCCCCAACCTAACATTCTAGTCTTTGAGCCTGTCACTCTCCCAAATGTACCATATGTTTTAGCCATACTAACCCTGGTGTTTCTCAGATATTCTGTAGAGTATTAAATGCCCTCAAACATTTTTTCATGCAGAACACTTTACTTGAAATACCAACTGTTCCCCACCCGTATCCCTTTCCTCCTAGTACAGTTAAATGAGAGCACAAAGGAAGGCAAATTTAGGTATGTGCTGCATAAGTCTGGGAAGGCTTCAGTGATGAGGTGATGCTTTAACTGGGTCTTGAAGGATAAACAGTAATTTTCCAGGAAATTATCTTTCCTAATAGAGAACCGGTATTACGGTAGGGTGGGAGGCAGAAGGACTTCCACTAGGTAAAAATAGAGGCCAGGGTAGTCTGCTTGTCACTTCACAAAAGAAGACGGAGTGAGGTAATACAACATATAGTTGAAACTAATTTCAACATAGCCTCGCAGGAAAAGCTGGGGTACACTGAACATTAATAATAGCTGTTTATGGAAAGAGAAAGTAGTATGGTTAACCTCCAATGATGTATTACAGAAAGAGCCTCAGTCTTCACACTGCTGTTAGTCTGAAAGGTGCCATGTCTTAAAGTAATTCAGGAACTGTGTGCAGAAGTATGTTTTACATGGTTTAATACATTTTAAAAATGTTTTCTAACCTGCTGAAAATAATTTTAAAAATTACTGCATGTTGTAATTAGATATGGTACACAAAAACATAGCAGTAAATATCCACTTGACTGATGTGTAATAGATTCACTTATCCTGACCTCACCTATTTGATAGATTGATCATTTTGGAGTTAACTGAGAACTGAAAAAGAAAGAAAAGAAAAATAAAATAAAACAATCTGAGCAGCCTGTAAAATGTCCCCAAATCCATCAAATAAGCCTCTTGAGGACAAAGACCTTTTGGCCTTTAATCAGAGCCTATTAACGCTTTTTTCCTCTGGTGTCTTAACAAGTCCCATTATGTCTTTTCCATCCACAGCAG